GCTGCCAGACAGCGCCTCTGGGCTGTGGCACAGCAGCAGGTGTCCAGCCCCAAGCTGACACGCCTGAGCCCCTTTCAGAGGCATTGTCCCAAATCCCACCCTTGGTGAGAGTCCTGCAGAATCAGTCCTTTCTCAGGAGGCAGGATTCCAAATCAAATCACTGTGTATCAGTGTCACTGCCCCACTCTTGAGATGTCCACACTGCCTCTGGGAGTGCAGTGGAGAGGGAGGGAGGGAGGTGGGCAGGGCAGGCTGATCTCAGTTGTTGTGTTTGGTGCCAGGTACAACAGAAACCAAGGGCATTTCAGCCCAGACGACCTTCGTAACTTGATCTCTTGCATTCCTTGTATTCCAGCCAAGGAAATAAACACTGGTATGTCATGTCTAAGACGTGCGGTCACATTCACAGAGTGTTTTTATTTATATTACCTGAGTCTCGTCGCATTCTTTTTATTAGTATTATGATTTTTAATCCTCACCAAGGATATTTTTCCCATTGATCTTAGAGTGAAAGGGAGGGGGGAAGAGAGAGAGAGAGAAAGAGAGAGAGAGAGAGAATGAGAGAGAATATCATCAATGTGAGAGAGACACAGTGACTGGTTGCCTCCTGCATGCACCCCGACTGTGGCTAGGGATCAAACATGAAACTGAGGTACATGCCCTTGACCAGAAGCCCAACCTGAGACCCTTTGGTCCAAGAGCCGACGCTCTAACCACTGGGAAAACTGGCCAAGGCCATCACACTCTCCAGGTGAGGAACTGAGCTTCAGGGAGGGTAAGAAACATGCCTGAGGCTCTCCGCTTAGTATCTGGCACAACCCAGACGGGGGCTGGATCTTGCCGAGGCCCCAGGATGCAGCAGAGACCCGTGTTCCATGGACCTTGGGTCCAGCCTCAGGTCTGCCACTAATCCGTTCTGTGGTGTGTCCAGGCCTCACCCTTCCCCGCTTTCAAATGGGCGTAATCACAGTGCCCGTGCCATCAGGTCCTTGCGAGGGTAGAAGGACATGATGCCTAAGAAGAGCTTGGCAGAGTACCTGGCACAGGGATTCCAGGAAATGGTAGTGGTTAATATTAGTTTGGTTCTCCATCTATTAGAGATAAATCTACCTACAATTACTAGAAAAGTGAGCAATATCAACTGAAACACATGGGGGTTATTTTTCTCACACAGCAAGAAGTTTGAAGCAGGCAGTCGCGGGCGGCCAATAGCCGAATGACACCATCAAAGGCCACTTGCCTTTCACTCCTCCTGGTCTCCAGAGCGTTTTGATTTGCTGCTTCATGGCTGCTAGGTGGCTGCTGCACTCCATCTACCATGACTGGGAGGAGGTGTGCAGTACCAGGGACGCCCCCCCTTTTGTAAAGAAAGCAAAAGCTACCCCAGAGCCCCGCTTCCAACCACAGCAGATTTCTGCTTTTGTCTCACTGGCCTGGACCATGTCTTCTGTCCATTTGTAGCTGCAGGGACTTGGACAGTGAGCATTTAACTTTTCAGATTTGATCGGATAAGTGGTGGCACGGAAGAAGGTGGGTGAACGTGGGAATAGCCTAAGCCAATTGTATTTGCCACGGTTCTTCCTGCCTCTTGGGTCGTCAGGTTAGAGGCTTAGTTAATCCTGGTCACCTGTTCAGGGCACGTGAACAGCCACGCCCTTTTCTAGACTGATTCCCTTTTGTTTTCACAAAATAGATAGTTCCGTGTGCATCTGTTCTTCTTAACCTTTAAATTAAATTATAACACACACACACGCGCGCACACACACACACACACACACACACACACACACTGCAGTGTTTCTAGATGGCTCAGCAGAGCTTTAGTATTTATCCTCTTGACAGCACCACTCTGACTACTGTGTGGAACATTCCCAGCTTCCCAGCAATCTCCCTCTTCCCCCGTCAGCACTCCTGCCTAAATGGAACCGTCCCTCTGATCTCTACCCCCAGGACCCTGGTTTGCCTGTTCTTTGACTCCATGTGAATGGAATTGTGCATTTGTGTGTACAGTAGTTTCTCCCTCTCCACCCCATTATCCATGGGACACATGTTCCAAAACCCCCAGTGGATGCCTGAAAGCAGGGGTAGTACCGAACCCTACACACACTATGTTTTTTTCTAGACACACACTTAATGGAAACCCTTTCTGCCTTCTCTCAGGCATTTCTGAATTGCCAGCAACACGACTCTTGTGCTTTGGGGCCATTATGAAGTAAAGTAAGGGTGACGAACAGAGGCAGTGTGCTACCTGACAGTTGATCTGATCATGGGGAAGGCTCCCACGTGACTAACAGGCAGGGAGCGCATAATCGTGTGGACAAAGCGGTGATTCATGTCCCAGGCATGACACACGGGGAAGGCGTGAGATTTCATCAAGCTGCTCAGTGGCATGCAGGCTGAAACTTATCAGTTGTTTATGGAATTTTTAAGTTAATATTTTTGGTCCTCAGTTGACTGCAGGTAACTGAAACTGCGGAGAGTGAAACCACGGGCCAGGGAGACGGCGGTGCTGTGACCCGGTCACTCACCTTGAGAGTCACTGTTCTTACAGGAAGTGGGGCTGCATTAGTCACTGTTCTTACACGAAGTGGGTCCCGCGTGCTCTCTGTGCAGTGTCTCTCTGGACAGACCTGGGATAAGTGGGTTCCGGGAAGTCGGCCCTCTCCGGCTCACGGAGCATCTGTGCCTCAGGAAGCCGAGGCTTGCCTGTCTCCTGGGGACTCGTAAGGTTGCCTCAGATGCTGTCAGCATAAAAGAATTTCCTTGAACACTCCTTCGTTTGGAGAGGGTGGAAGCAGAGAATAAGAGGGATGGTTTCTGGAAGGACATTTTTAGGAAAGGGGAAAAAGCAACTGAAAGTGTCGTTGGGAACCTGGAAGCCAGCCTTCCACCCAGAGGTTTAGGGCTGTCTTCCGTGCCCCAGCCCTTCCACTGGCCTCATTCAGAGCTCAGGGACTTACACTCACAGCAACTCTGGCTCTCCCGGGGCTGGGAAAACTGGTTTGAATTCAGGTTCTGAAAAGCCTTCCTCCCTGCAAGGCTGGCTGGGCTTTCCCTCTCAAAGCCAGGGTGGTTTTCTTTATAGAACGCTCCACCCAGGACACACTTGAGAACAAGAATAAAGCTGATGCTTTTCAATGGAGTCTTAAATGACGATGAAAGGGACTAGTTATTCCTGCAAGTATAGTCATGTAGATAAGTCAGGGACCGAGTAGAAAAAACTATGCAGTTTGCTCTAGTGGCTGGTGGTTGTCTTCTCTTGAGGTATCTGCTGGTTCCAGGCCTGTGTCTGCTGGGATAAGGTGCTGAAATCTCCGGCAGAGGCCCAATGGGACGTTCTGTGCGCGGCGGCTAGCGCTTGCTCTAGTGATGGGCTTGGCAGGCTGGCCCATCCTGGCCACTTCCATTGAGGCCCGGCATCCTTACAGGATGTGTCAGTGGGCACGCGGCATTAAGGGAAAGAACAGCCTACCCCAGTGCCTCTAACATGGATGGCCAACCTTGAATTTAGCAATACTTATTGCTAACAAATGTATGATATTTTATTAGGTTTGTTGAGTAATTTATGTAGCCCTAGCCCTTACTGGGGATTTTGCATATATTATTTCAATTATTTTCCATGGGAAGTGGGGAGATACGTAGGATTATTTGCATTTTGCAAGTGAATAAATTAAAGATTAGAGAATTTCACTAACCTGCTAGTAAGAAACAGGTTTAAGAAGTAGGGTTGCAACTCCACATCGGTTCTCTTAGATCCCAATGGCCGTGTCCCTGGTGCTTCTGCACACTACCTGTTGAAAATAGCCGCTGGCCTTTCTGGAATGCTCATCCTCTCAGCGGCCCATGCTTCCCAGTCACTCACCCAACACATCCTCTTCAGTGTTCGTCCAACAAGGGACTGGTTTTCGGACGGCTAAAAGCTGCAAATACCTTGTCACATATTTTAATTTTAGCTAATTGGTGAAGCTTCACTGTAACACAATTGTATTTTATTAAAGAAATTTTTAAAAATATTTAAAACAGTCTTGGTTTCAGTCCTAATGTCACCATGAATCAAAACAAGCCACGAGCCCTCAGCTCCCCCTTGTTTGTGAACTGAGGAGGTGAAGTGTGTGGTTGCGAATGTCCCTTCCTGTTCTACAAGCATGGGATTCAATAAGGTTTGCTTTTGTGTGTGTGTGTTTGTGATTCTAAAACAGCTTCCTAGTACAAATATTTCTTTTTTAAAAATTTTTTTATTTTTCAATTACAGTTGACATTCAATATTATATTAGCTTCAGCTGTACAGCATAGTGGTTAGACATTTATATAACTTACAAAGTGATTCCCCCATAAGTCTTGCACCCACCTGACAGCATGTAGTTATTAGAATATTATTGACTGTATTCCCTAAGCTGTACTTTACATCCTCATAACTATTTTGTAACTGCCCATTTATACTTAATCTCTTCACCTTTTCATCCAGTTTCCCAACCCCACTCCCATCTGGCAACCATCAGTTTGTTCTCTGTGTCTATGAGTTTGCTCCTGTCTTGCTAGTTTGTTAAACAAATATTTCTTAAAGGAGCCTTAAATGCAAGTCAAAAGAAGTGGATAACATTGGGGCTTTCAAAAAAGAATTTTTTTAATGTAAGTTTTTTACTCTTCCAAGCAAAGCTACATTTTTCATTGTATTTCCCAGTTCATCATTCCCACCAAAAGAAAAGCAGGTTCTTAAATAATGCATATTGGAGCTTAGATTCCATGAGGGTCTGGCAAGTTTTAATCTTGGATAAGATGATGTAAAATATTGCCAATAGCCAACCTTAGGTTGCCAACCCAAATATAAATCCCTACTTGTTCAGTATATGAATGTGTAACATAAACTGTTTTAAATTACTGTATACCTGGTACTGTTGAATAGAATTAAGACACTGTTGGGCAACTCTAAAAATAAGAGTAAGGCAATATTGTGGTCTAATTAGTTAAGAATGTGCTATACTTTTACTACATCATTTTAGACCCAATAAAGAGAAAACTGGCCATGTGAGTGACTCAGGATCGTCTGTCATTAAGCATGGGCTCAATCCAGAGAAGGTCTTCATGCAGGTTCATTATTTAAAGGTAAGCACATCTAAGTGGCAGAAGCCAGTGACTATGGTATAGCATTTTTTAGATTATACACATAAACAGTGAAGATTAATAACATGGTTGAGCTAAACAAAACAATGATCAACATTGTAATGACATTTGACTGGGTAGATATCTGATTGTCTAATAATTAAAACACTTTATACCCAAAAAATGAGGCATGAATCAAAGGAACCTGAACTATTTCCTGCCCTGTACCTCCCTTCTCCCTGTTTCACGTCAGCTTTGAAGAGCAGAATCTTAAAATTGTTGTCAGGTTCCAACTGGAGCATAGGAGCAAGAAGGAAGCATTTTAAGGTTAAAGGCCTTTCCTGATAGCTGAGGGAGAAAAGAGCCAGGACCCGGCCCTTCTGGTTTGAGATGTGCGTCCAGGCTTCATGTAAACCAAGGGGGATACCCAGATGAGTTGAAAGCAAAGTAGTTGATCCTTAATTTCTAGAAAGACACATATTACATGATCTCACTTATATGTGGAATCTAATGAACAAAATTAACTGATGAACAAAATAGACCCAGAGACATGGAAGCATGCAACAGACTGATGTATTTCAGAGGGAAGGGTAGGATGGGGGTGGAGGGTGGGTAGCAAGAGATTAACCAAAGAACTTATATGCATACTAGAGGCCCGGTGCACGAATTCATGCACAGGTGGGGTCCGGCTGGCCCGCCCCAATGGGGGCCTATTGGGCCGGGCTGGTTGGGGAGAGGGGCTGCAGGCAGTTGGCCAGCCGACTCCACCCCTAATCAGGGTGTTGGGGGCCAATCGGGGCCAGGCTGGTGTCAGGGGGGGGGAGGCAATCAGGATCCAGATCAGGCTTGTTGGCTGCCGCAGTGCGTGTCATAGCCTCTGGTCATTCTGGTCATTCTGGTCGTTCCATCATTCCAGTCGCTGGGCTTTTATATATATAAATATGCATAACCCATAGACACAGACAATAGTGCTTTGAAGGCCTGGGGAGTGGGTGAGATCTGGGTGGAGGAGGTCAATGAGGGAAAAAAAGGGGGACATCTGTAATGCTTTCAACAATAAACATAAATTTAAAATCCTATATAATAAAAGCATAATATGCAAATCAACCAAACATCTGAACAGCAGAATGACCATCCGGACAACCATCCAGGACCACACTATGACACCCACTGGCGCCAAGCCAGCCAAGGTGGGTGCAATGCGATTGGTCAGGGGCCAGGCCATCGCCCCATGATCGCCTCGCAGAGGGAGGCCCAGGCCACCGACCAGCTGGCTGCAGCAGGTGGGCGGGGCCTCCCTCTGCGAGGGAAGCCCAGGTCCTGGGTGCTGGCAGCCAGAGGAAAGCCCAGGTCCTGGGTCCTGGGTTCCAGAGGCAAGCCGATGCCAGCAGCCCGGGGGAAGGAAGGCCTACTCTTGCACGAATTTCGTGCATCGCGCCTCTAGTAAAGAATATAAAGGGCAGCCTGGAACACATCACATGGGACATTCTAGATGTGCATAAAGCGCTGGTGGGTAAGTTAGGGTTGACTGTGTAAGCATTTTTCCGATTAATCCATGATAGGCATCTTTTTTCTTCTACTTCCTTTTTTCCAGGGTTATTTCCTTCTCCGGTTCCTTGCCAGAAGACTTGGAGATGACACCTATTTTTCCTTTTTAAGAAAATTTGTGCACACATTTCATGGGCAGCTGATTCTTTCCCAGGTAATATATGAGTACTTGTGAGTCCGTGGGGGTGTGGCATGTGGGGAATAGATTATATGAGTATTAAAAAGTGGGGGAAAGATTTATGATTTAATGCAATAGGAAAAATAGGAAGTTAATGAAGTGGACATAGGAAAGTGTTGTTTTAGGGAGGGTGATCCCCCTGTAGTCTTGGGACCATCTGATGTTTCTAACTCTTCTATCTCTCTCCCTTCCTCTCTGTAAAAAAATCAATAAAATATATTTTTAAAAAAGTGGGGGAAAGATTTATGATTTAATGCAATAGGAAAAATAGGAAGTTAATGAAGTGGACATAGGAAAGTGTTGTTTTAGGGAGGGTGATCACCCTGTAGTTTTGGGACCATCTGAGACCCAAAGCTGTCCTGTGCAGGGATGTAGATAGTTGAATCTTAAGTGACCTTAAGAACAAAAGCAAAAAAAGCAGTCCTGCTGTTCCTCTACCTGCAGTGATCTTTGCAGGGTTGGCTCCTTCTTATCCTTTTGTCTCAGCTCAAATGCCACACACTCAGAGTCACCCCAGCTAATCAGATCTGCATCCACCCTGCTAATCTCTACCCTTTGCCTTTTTCATTGCCTTCATTGTCATTGCCATTAATTATCATTTTATTTGAGGCCCGGTGCACGAATTTGTGCATGGGTGGGGTCCCTCGGCCTGGCCGGCAATTCGGGGCCGATCAGGGCCGTGGGAGGTTGGCTGGTGGGGGCAGGGGCTGCGGGAGGTTGACCGGCTGGCCAGGGGGAGAGGCCACGGGAGGTTGGCCGGCTGCCTTGATCAGGGCCAACCAGCTGGGGGGGAAGAGGGGGGACCACAGGAGGTTGGCTGTGGAGCACACTGACCACCAGGGGGCAGCTCCCTGGTGGTCAGTGCGTGTCATAGCGACCGGTCGACCGGTCGTTCGGTTGCTTAGGCTTTTAATATATATAGATTTTTCATTTAAGATCACTTGGGGTTTTTTTCTTTCTCCTCCATTCTATGTATAAGCTCATGAAGGCCAGACCATGCTCTTTATTTGATCAATACTTAATACATGATTGACAAACAGTATGTGCACCATATATATTTGATAAACTGAGAGATTGACAAGATACACTGAAATATTCAGATAGCCTGACCTCAGAACTATCAGAGAAAGACTTTCCGTTTATATGGGTGTGGGGCCAAGCTGCACATAGGAGTAAGCAAGTTAACAAACAGGTATTGACTCTGGAAGCCGTGCTTGTAGCAGGCACCAAAACCTGCGGGGGCAAACTCCACTTTTTTGGTTTTTTTAAATCTTTTTTTATATTTTATTTCCTATTTTATTTCTTTCTTCTCTTTTTCCTTTCATATCTCTTATTTCTCTCTTTCCTTTACTTATTCTATTTTTCTCTTTTCTTTTTTTATTCTTTTTGCCATTTTTCTTTTCCTATTCTATATTTTATTTTATTTATTATTATTACTTTTTTTATGTGTGTGCCTCCCACCTGGTCATGCTCATTCAGCTTTATGGTACAATGGGGTCATCCACTTGTGACCCAAGGCCAGCTATTCCCTGGAGAGCAAGCAGGTGGTGTCCCTCTCCTACAACCTTGTGACCCTCATGCTCAACCTGCTCATCTACAGCTTTCAGAACAAGGAGGTGAGGTGTGTCTTCAAAGAAGAGGGACCTATACTCTATGGCCTCTCCAGTGATTCCAAAACTGTTTATCTAGTCCTCTGCTGGACACCCCTGCCGGGGGGGGGCGGGGGGGGGGCGGTGGCGGATAGGGGGTGTCTTTTGTGCTTCAATATGGAGTACCTGAATTCTTTCTGAACCTCTTCTGGGGATTTCCTGGTTTTTTTTTTTTTTTAAAATATTTTTATTTATTTCAGAAAGGAAGCTAGAGGGAGAGAGAGAGAAAAACATTAGTGATGAGAGAGAATCATCAATTGTCTGCCTCCCACACATCCTACACTGGGGATCCAGCCCGCAACCCAGGCATATGCCTGGACTGGGAATCAAACCGCAACCTCCTGGTTTATAGGTTGACACTCAACCACTGAGCCACGCCGGCCGGGTTGATTCCCTATTTTGAAAATGGCATCAACATCCCTAATGACTGCCTTGAATTCAGCCATCCTCCAGGCTTATTATTTTTTCTTTTAATTTTTTTTATTCCTTCTTTCTATTCATGTTCTTGTTCTTTTTGCCTCTTGTCTTTTATTATTCCTTCTTTGCCTCTTTTTTTCTCTTTTTATTCTTTTTTTCTGTTGTTGTTTTTGTTAGTGGTGGTGGGTTGCTTTTTTTTCCATGTTGTTTTTTGCTTTGTTTTGTTGTGTTTTATTTTGTTTTGTTCTGTCAGCACCTGTGCAACAGTTTGCATGGCATGGTTGGGGTTGAGTCTCACAGGCAGCCAGCCCAAGGGCCGAGCCTACCTACAAATGGGGCAACAGGTGTCAAGACCCAATTAGAACTGGAGTGCAAACATAACCCACACAAGGGACATTCCTACACTCAGCTCAAGAGATCAAGGAGACTACACCACTGTCTTTGAGAACACCCACTACAGGAGGCCACCCTACCAAGCCTGGGAGTCATAGCAAGTCTATCTAATACATAGAAACAAATAAAAATTGGGAAACAAAGAAACAGGCCCCAAATGAAAGAACAGGAGGAATATTCAGAAAAAAAGCTAAATAAGATGGAGGTAAGCAATTTATCAGAAAAAGAGTTCAAAGTAATGTTTTTAAGAATGCTCAGCAGCATGAAAAAGGACATAGAAACCATGAAAAACAACTAGTTGGAAATAAAAAATAACATATCTGAATTAAAGAATACAGTGGAAGGAGTGAACAGTAGGTTAGATGAAGCAGAGTATGAAATCAGCAAATTAGAAGATAAGAAGATAAGATAGAAAAAAATCAGTCAATCAGAGCAACAAAAAGAAAAAATAATTGATAGCCCTAGCTAGTTTGGGTCAGTGGATAGAGTGTTGGCCTGCAGACGGAAGCGTTCTGGGTTCAATTCCAGTCCAGGGCACATATCTCAGTTTCAGGCTCCTCCCCGGCCTGGGCCCTGGTTGGAGCTTGTGCAGGAGGCAACTAATCTCTCACATCGATGTTTCTCTCTGTCTATCCTTTCCACTTCCACTCTTTCTAAAAATCGATGGAAAAATATCCTCAGGTGAAGATTAAATAATAATAATTTTTTTAAATTATAAAATAAATAAATAAATAAAAAGCATGAAGATGAGGATAGTTTAAGGGAACTTTGGGACAATATGAAAAGTAACAACATCTGTATCATAGGGGTACAAGAGGGAGAAGAAAGTGAGCAGAGATAGAGAACTTGTTTGAAGAAATAATGATAGAAAACTTCCTTAACCTGGTGAAGGGAAAAGTCACACATGTTCAGGAACCACAGAGAGTCTCAATCAGGGTTAACTCAAAGATACCCACACCAAGACACATCATAGTTAAAATGGCAAAGGTTAAAGACAAAGAGAGAATCTCTTTGTCTTTCAAAGGCAGCAAGAAGGAGACAGTCGGTTACCTACAAAGGAGCTCCCATAAGGATGTCTGTCAGCTGATTTCTCAACAGAAACACTACAGGCCAAAAGGAAAAGGTATGAAATATTCAAAGTAATGAAAGACAAAGATCTGAAACCAAGACTGCTCTATTCAGCAAGGTTATCATTTTTTTGTAAGAACCAGAATTGTAAGAACTGTTAAAGAGACAGATGTAAGAAGAAAGATAGAAATAGAGAAACATAGGCATAAAGAATAAAAATGGCAATAAATAAATACCTATCAATAACAACCTTAAATGTAAGTGGATTAAATGCTCCAGTCAAAAGTCATAGGGTAGCTGGATGGATAAGAAAACATAACCCATACATATGCTGTTTACAAGAGACCCACCTCAGAACAAAAGACTCACAAAGGCTGAAAGTGAAGGGATAGCAAAAAATATTTCATGAAAATGAAAATAAAGGCTGGGTAGTAATACTCATATCTGACAAAATGAACTTTAAAACAAAGGCCATAAAAGAGACAAAGAAAGTCACTACATATATATGAAAAGCATGAGTTTATATATACATATAAACTTTTGGTGTATTTTAAGGGAGAGATTGACAGCAATACAGTCATAGTAGGGGTCTTTAATACCCACTGACATCACTGGATAGATCTTCCAGACAAAAAATCAACAAGGAAACAGCAACTTTAAATGACACTGGATCAAGTGGATTTAATTGATATTTACAGAACATTTCATCCCAAAGCTACAGAATATATATTCTTCTCAAGTGCACATGGAACATTCTCAAAGATAGAACATATGTTAGAACACAAAATAGTCTTTACTAGTTCAAGAAGATTGAAATCATATCAAACATCTTCACCTTAGCTGGTTTGGCTCAGTGGATATAGCATCGCTCTGTGGACTGAAGAGTCCCAGGTTTGATTTCAGCCAAGGGCACATGCCTGGGTTGCATTCTCGATCCCTAGTGGGGGGGGGGGGGCGGGGTGTGCAGGAGGCAGCCAATCAATGATTCTCTCTCATCATTGATGTTTCTATCTCTCTCTCCCTCCCCCTTCCTTCTAAAATCAATAAAAATATATTTTAAACACACACACACACACACACACACACACACACAAACATCTTCTTGGATCACAATGGCATCAAACTAGAAATAAACTATAATAAAAACATTCAAACCCCTGGAGGCTAAATAGCATGTTATTAAACAATGAATGGATTACCAATGATATTAAGGAAGAAATAAAAATCTGTACGACATTGAAGAAAGAAATAGAGGAAGATACAAACAAGTGGAAGCATACACCATGTTCATAGATTCGAAGAATTAGCGTCATTAAAATGTTCATATACTCATCATTCTATAGATTCAACACAATTCCTATTAAAATACCAATGGCATATTTCATAGATCTAGAACAAATATTCCAAAAATTGATATGGAAACAAAAAAGAAGACCCCAGTTAGCCTCAGAAATCTTAAGAAGAACAAAGTTGGAGCAATCACAACACCAGATATCCAACGATACTATAAAGCCATTGTAATCAAAACAGCCTGTCACTGCCTTGGCTGGTTTGGCTCAGTGGATAGTGCCAACCAAAGGGTCCCAGGTTCAATTCCAGTCAAGGGCATAAGCATTGGTTGTAGGCTTGATCCCCAGCCCTGGTCGGGATGTGTGTGAAGAGCAAGCAATTAATGTGTCTCCCTCACGTCGATGTTTCTCTCTCTGTCTCTCTCCCTCCCTTCCACTCTCTCTAATAAGCAATGAAAAAATATCCTCGGTGAGGATTTAAAAAAAACAACACAAAAAAACAGCCTGTTACTGGCATAAGAACTGGCATATAGGTCAATGGAACAGAACAAAGAGCCTAGAAATCAACCCATGTCATTATGGTCAGATAATATTTGACAAAGGAGGCAAGAGCATCAATGGAGCAAAGACAGTCTCTTCAATATATTGTGTTGGGAAAATTGGACAAGTACATGCAAAAAAATAATGAAACTAGACAATCAAGGTACACCATACACAAGAATAAACTCAAAATGGATAAAAGACTTAAATGTAAGCCACGAAACCATAAAAATCCTGGAAGAAAATGTGCTGGGCTGCATATCTGGCACTTTGGCCAGACGGGTCATGCTGTGCTGTCTGTTCCTAAAACACATAGATAGGAAGGTACTGACATCAGGCCAGACCTTGAGATATGGTCTCATGGCCCCTTCCCAGCATGCAGGCCTTCTTTCTCAGAAGGCCCAGAAGTCTCATTCCCAATTTGGGAGACAAAGGACTAAAAAAAGTATAAATAAAGAGAGTTTCCTCCATATTGGGGGCCCAGAATTTGAAAGACACATTTTTCTCTGGGCCTCCACAGAATTTAATATAAAATGTAACTCCTGTAGTAGTCTGGGCTGCAGTTCATCCTTTGCTTCGGCATGGTGCTGTGACTGTGGTCAGCTGGCCAGCTTAATAAAAGCTCTTAAATTTAAATTCTGAGTCGGTGGTCTATCTCGCTGAAGTGAACCCATAACAGAAAACATAGGCAGTAAAACTTTAGACATATTATGTAGCGGATATATTTTTGTGGATATATCTCCTGGGGCAAGAGAAACAAAGGAAAAAATAAACAGATGGGATTACATCAAACTACAAAGCTTCCGCACAGCAAAAGAAACCACCATCAAAATGAAAAAGGAACCCACTGTATGAGAGAACATATTTGCCAATGATACATCTGATAAGGGGTTAATATCCAAAATGTATAAAGAATTTATACAATTCAACACCCGGGAGACAAACAATCCAATTAAAAAGTGGGCAAAGGATCTGAATAGATACTTCCCCAAAGAGGACATACAGATAGATGGCCAATATGTATATGAAAAAATGCTCAACATCAGTAATCATCAGAAATGCAAATTGAAACTATAATAAGATATCAATCACTTCATACCAGCCAGAGTGGCTACCATCAATAAATCAACAACAAGTGCTGGTGAGGATGTGAAGAAATGGGAACCCAAGTGCACTGCTGGTGGGAATGCAGGTGGTGCAGCCACTGTGGAAGACAGTATGGAGTCTCCTCAAAAAATTAAAAATGGAACTGCCCTTTGACCCAGTGAATTCACTTCTGGGAATATATCCTAACAATCCCAAAACACCAATCAGAAAGAATATATGCATTCCTATGTTCATAGCAGCATTATTTGCAATAGCCAAGGTCTGGAAACTGCCCAAGTGTCCATCAGTAGCTGAGTAGATAGAAAAGCAGTGGACATAATGGAATACTATGCGACTGTAAAAAAAAGAAGTAACTCTTACCCTTTGCAACAGCATGGAGGTACCTGGAGATTATTATGCTAAGTGAAATAAGCCAGTCAGAGAAAGACAGATATCACATAATTTCACTTATATGTAGAATCTAATGAACAAAATAAATTGACTAACAAAATAGGACAAAATAAATTGACAAACAAAATAGAACACAAAAATTTCCTGTATTCACTGAAAATTCTGAAACATTGTTCTCTATAGTCCTGTAAATAAAGATCCAGTTGTAACTGGAAAATGCAAAAGGACAGAATTAAGGTTAACTCTGTATTTCCTGCTTCTCAAGCAATTAAATTCTCCCCCTTGCCATTGAGTTAATGTAATTCACACACACACACACACACACACACACACACACACACATATAAATGAGCATACATTACTGGACAAATATGGGATAAGTTGATATGGGCTCTAAGGAGATAATGAAGTGAAATTAGTAAGAAATTATACTTACCATACTTGGATTTTTAGGAAGCAAGAATACTGCCATTCAACCAGTGAAATATCTGCAATGTAACCTATTAATAAGTCAGTTGTGATAAATTAATTTCTGATTCAACATTTATACAAAATAATTATTACAGTAAAGATAATGACTTAAAGAACCTCAAGCAAAAGTAATTCTTCACATTCTAAATATTGCTCTTGCTTCCTTTGGTGTTTCCTCCATGTACTGCATCCACTGCAGGTGCAAGGAGGGACTTCAGATGTAGGGGTCATTGTATCTGGGCTTGTCCCCTTCCATTTGCCTGCATGATCCATGCTTTTAATATTAGTTGGTATTCTTTGTATCATTTATTTTGGATGAAGCAAAATACACAAGTGAGGTCTTAGAAGGAGAACGGGATTTGCAAGAAATAAATTTTTCATTACTGCCCTTAATGGGGAGTCTTTGCCTCTGGAAGAAATGGACCTACTACGCACCCATAAACTCATAGAAAGGGCTGGCAGGCTTCGCCAATGTGCGATGGCTTTGCCTCATGTGTTGATAGAAGAAGAACACCTTGTCATACAAATTGTTTGCAGATTTCCAGTCCTCCGTGCTTCCATCTGTTTGTAATCCCAGGGTCTGACCTGCTGCTTCCATCTCACATTCTGAGTTAAATGGGTCTCATCAGAGCCTGCACTACCGGGATCTGTAGGCTGGGGGGATGTGGGGGTGGGGCTTCCATCCAGGGATGTTCATTTGGCAGTGCCAGAGCTGGTCATCTGAGCTCTTGCAAGGACCTGCTTTACAAGATTGTCAGTTTATTCAAAGAAAAACTTCAAGTGTAGATCCCAAAAACGTTACAGGTTGTTCTTGTTTGCTGCATGTTCTATATTTTTTCCGAAGTGTATCTTGTCAAATCTTCAGATGGTAGGAGGTTTAATTTAGCAAGTAAAAATGCACAACACCAGGTTAAATTTGCATTTCAGATAAACAGCAAATACTCTTTTAGTGTAAGCATGCCTCCAATTTAACTGGGCATCCAATATTGTATCTGACAAACCTGATTGAAGCCAAATCAAGATTCTAGAATGAGATGGACTGACATGGTTGGTCACAATGTTCAAGGTGCAAATTAAATATAAATGATATTGAACATTCATATGTGGTTTTTTTAGGCCTTATGGTATTGTGGTTATGTTTTAAAAGAGTCCTTATATTTCAGAGCAATTTACTGAAACATTGATTGGTGAAATTATGTCATGTTTGGGGTTCGCTTCTAAATAATACAAGAGGCAGATAAGTGGATGGGGCATATTGGCTGTGGGTTGATGGGTACATGAAGGTTAATTATACTCTTTTGTCTTCTTTTGAATGCGTTTGAAATTTTCCATAGTAGAGGAAACAATGAGTGTGTGTAAGTCATGTCTTTAGGTTTAAAAAAGTTATTATTGAAACATCCTAGGTGTCAGTGGCGCTAGGAGAGGCTGCAGGCGGAGCCAGGGAACCGGAACCATTCTGGCTGTAGCCCTTGGTTCCTCCCCGGGGACGGCCGGGGATAGTCATGTCTTGAGCTCTGTCATTATCTTTCCAAAGAGCAAAGCAAGAAAGTTGCAAGTCACTCACCAGCCTCTCAGCACTGAGGTCTTTCAGTCCGTAACAGGGCTCATGACGGGGACCGGTTAGGTGGGGGACAGAGCTTTCTGGGGGACAGCCTTTTGAAAATACATAGTTGAGACATGAAATGAAATAAACTGTTGCTTTAGGTCAAAATAACAAACACTACATTTTTCCATTTGTTTGTGGTTTTCACAAAACAAATCTCTTTACCTGATTGGACTGAAGCGCCGTAATTAATACATCGGGCACATAGTCCAGTGATCCAGCATGGGCCCAGCTTCGCGAGCAGGTGAGCTGCCGGCAGCCGGGGGCAGTGACACATCGATGGACATTTTTCATGGTTTGCTTTTTTCTTATTCCAGGATTTCCTTCAAATGCTGTTGGAGAACATCCCAGAAGAAAAAAGGTGAGGACCAACTTAGGAATTAAGAGCCTCGTTTTACTTTTAATGTTAAAAACGACCCTGCCATTGTCTGGCTTACTAAACTGAGGAAGTTCAGTCTTCCTCTCTTAATAGAGGCAAGGACCTGGCCCAGCCAGCAGGAGTCCTGGGAGCATCAGCCAAAGTTAGAAATGGGCTCATGTGAATAGTGGGAGCTAGTGGGCACAGCAGGGATTCCCCAGAGTTGCCCCCCCCCCCTCCAAGTGGTATATGAGGCAAGTCAAGGACACAGTGTGGCCTCAGCTGCTGTGGAAAGAGTGGCAGAGAGAACGGTCCTAAAGCCCCGGGGGCTGTAGAGAACATGGCTCCATACAAGGAAACACTGTTCAGTTGAAGGTGAAAGGTGGGGTAGTAACCAAAGCCTGGGATTTGAAGTCGGGCTCTTCAAGGTTCTAACCCAGCTCTGCCCCTTCCCACATATAACATTCGGATCAGGTCACTTCGTCCCTCCAAATTCCTGTTTTCTACCCTCTGGCAGGCTTTCCCGGAGGATCAAAGGGGATAACACATGAAAAGTAGGTGCTCAATTAATGATGGATGTAGTTAGAACAATAACAGCTTCTGTGCACCAGGCACTTTCGGGATCTGCTTACAGATATCATTGGCTCCCCATTACAGCACTCCGCCTCCGCTGCTGCCGCCGCCTCCTCCTTTTTCTTTTTCTTCATCGTCATCATGATTATTTTAAGCCAATACTTCATGGGAGGTTACTGTTTGCAGGCGCTCAGTTAATCCTCTGAACATTGCTACCTGGGGCGTTGTGTTTTATTGCTGTTTTACCAGAGGCCTGAGGTGCCGAGGGCTGAGTGAGCAGCCAGGGCGTCACAGCTCCATGTGGCAGGTGGGCTCTGCTCCCAGGAGGCCTGGCTCTGGAACCTCTGCTCTTATCCACAGTGTCCCACGTGAAGAAACTGAGGCTCCCAGAGGCGGAGTAACTTAAAGATCCCTTAGTGAGCAGGGGAGTGAGCCCGGTGTGGAGTGAGGCTGTCTGGGCCTCGCCCATGCTCTTTGCAATGCAAGCTCGCTCTGGAAAGAGGGAGACCTCGTCCTGGGAGGGGCCCAGTTTTAGTCTAGCTCCTCCTAGGGGATTCCGGGGGGGTTTAAGACCTATAGCAAAGTTTGGATTAGATTCATTCCAACCTTTTCTTTCTAATTTCCTATCTTAATTTGGGCACTAAAAGCAAATACCCTGAAACATAATTTCTAATAGCAAAATTGGTATTCAAACATTAAAGGGGGCATCTTGGGAAATTAACATTTCTTTCAAGAAGAGCCAGTATTACTCTCCTTCCTGACCCACAGTTTTAGCCATGATTTTATGCTCGGAGGAGATTTCCAAATGTGGAGACGAATCCCTGCGCACAGACATTGACTTGGACCCAGGCGAGGCCAGACACCTCCATGTCGACCGCCTGCCTGTAGGCAGCCCGATGTGGGGGTCGTGAGGGTCAGGTGTCAGGACTTGTGCTGCCAGGAGGTGACATGAAGTTCAGGGAGGATCTGGGGGCCATGAGGGCGTGGAGAGTTGTTCTTCATCTTCTGCCGTCTACCTCCAGTTCTTGCTTCAACAGTTAGAAATGTTATTAGGCTTTTTTTTTTTCAATCAGATGGGAACTCACACAAATTAGTGCATCATACAGAATTAACATAGCCATATCATTTGTTAAATTCCTTAATGTACCTCTTTCTGCTCCTGCCTTTGATGCTGAAGGAAGTCTTATCCAGGGAGAGTGCGTGGGCTGCACAGTCATTGGCTTTTCCAGGAGGCCGCTCGAAGGAGGTGTGGCTTGTTTGGGAAGGTCTGAAACGTTTCGGATTTACCATCTTTTATTTTTAAACAGAAATGTGGGTTTTTGTCATGCAAAAATCACATCAGAAGTGGTCATTATTCCTAAGGCCAAGAACAATAATTTACCTGCAATATTTTTCCCTTTTTCTTGTGTACCTGCCTGGAATAACTTTCCAGGTCCTCTGATAGGATGGAGTGCTTTCCCTACGCACTAACACCGAATGAAACAAGAAGAAAACTAATAGAAATTGTGTATTGCCTTGTCACCAAAGTCTGTTTCTGAGCAATGACTCTGCATTCTTTCAGAACTTCTTAGGGCACAAATATAGTCATTTTCATGGATGCAACGAAGTGCCTTATTAGTTGGGGAAGTCTTTCTTTTCATCCTCTTCCTAATAAGGGTATGGAGTTCACTTGGACGGTCCTAAGCCTGCTGGTTCTGGGGGACCCGGATATTATCATTGTGAATATGTATGGAGGTGACACACTGTGGGCCCACAAAGAGGCCTTTGTCATGATGTGGAAGCTACGAGCAGCATCTCTGTGTGACAGTGGCCAGCGGCACCCACCTCCTTCCCTCTGGGGGGATGCCTCTCCCAGGGAGGATCATGTTCTGGCCAATAGGTTTAAGCTCCTTTTAAAAATTCTCCCTAAAAGTTAGGGCAATTTCTTTCCTACAGTGAACGTATTTCAGCAAGTGTCCTGGAATACTTTTTGAAACTCAGCCATCTTTCCTGCTAACTAATCTCAGAATCAAATTCAGCTATTGAAACAGACCGTCTACCCTTTTACCTGTGCAGCATATTGTACCAATTTTATCTACTTCTCCCAAGCAGATGAAGGCCCCAAACCTGGGCCCTGAGCCCCTAATCGTTGGCCCTACTGCAAAATGATTCTCAGGCGCATCTGTTGGGCACATGAGCCGTTCTGTAGGGCAAGGGTTTTCAGATCAGACCCGCCAGTCAGGGTTCAGGGGCTGTCATGCTGCTTTTGCGTTGTTCTCTTGCTTCAGTTAATTTAACATTCTCTATTGAGCACCTTTCCTACCGGGTGGGGTGCTAGGCTGGACACGAGGGAGCAGAAAGGAATAAATCCCATGCCCCGCCCCCAGGGAGCTCCTAGTTGAGCTGCAGGCATACCCGAAGCAGAGCACTGGGACTCTGTGTGGGAAGTGCTCTGGGGAGCTTCCCAGTCCTGAGTGCACAGAGAAAGGGCTCATCAGCCCTCGCCTCCAGCCTCCAGGCAAAGAAGTACCACTGGAGGTTTTAGGTAGGGGAGTGCCACCAGCAGATTGGAGAGGTACTCTGGGGTGGGGGCAGCATGGGAGACAGATGGACGTGGGAGAACTAGAAGTCAGGAGACCAATTAGACCAGTACAGCAGTTCGCTGGAGAGATCTAGAGCTGGAACGAGGGCAGGGATGCTGGCGGTGGCAGTGTAACAGGCAATCGGAGATTCCGGAGATGAGACTTGGCTGATGGGTTGTGAAGTTGAATGGAGGCCTCCAGCATGAAGTTGGCCTTTCCTTCAGAGCCTCTCAGTCACTGAAGTTGCAATGGAAATACGGGGGCCCTGTTTTGTCTGGGGAGCCGGTGTGGTGCAGAGGGGATGGGAGGGGCAGTGTTTGGAAGTGGAAGCAGGAGATGAAGAGTTGTGTTTTAGACATTGTCAGTGAGAGGTTTCTGTTTAAAAGATGATGTTTAAGAGACTACGGGAAGGAAAGGCTGGAAGTGCTTGGAAGGAAATGGGGACAAATCCGGGGCCCTGGCCTGCCTGGCGAAAGCTCACTCCTACGGTATCGACAGCAACCAGTTCTTTCTTTGCTTGTCAATGACTGGGTCTGTGTGTGCGTGTTCACCTGTTAGTTTCATTCAGTGCTTTTCCTCCCCCGCGGCGCTGGGCGTACTTGTTTTATAAATGTTAAGTCAGCAACCTGCATTATACACCCCAGCACAAACTGCTTGTTTAGATCAAGAAAGTAAATAACTGTGTAAAGTTGAGATGTGGGCTAGTTGCAGAACAAGAGCACTTTCCGATTCAGACCCGAGCACTGAAGGCCCAAAGCTCGCCTCCGTCTAGTACCCGCGCCCCCAAGGTCTTTCCATCCATCCTTCAGTTCAAGCGGCAGCTGGGCCATGTGCTTTCCTTAAAGATGGGGATAGAACATGACCTTTAGAATCCCACGAGGCAGAAGACGGGAGTAAAGAGTGAAATGTCAGTAAAGACATTTCTCCTGATCAACACGACGTTGATAGGAACAAGTAGCAGATGTGGCTGATACTCCACCCTCAGAAATCAGCTGAACGAGCAGTGCGGCATGCGCCATGCCATTTCCACGCAAGCCTGGGTCTATTTCTTTGTACTTTAACGTCACAAAGAGACAAGCAATTGCTCACTTTGTGGCTTCTAACCAACATCTTGCCAGGACTTCTGACATATTCTCTCCCTTGCTGCAGTAACCACGTGTGAACACATTCATAGCTCACAGGGACTGGAGACAGACCCCTGCAATGCAATCGCCTTCCGGGACACAGGAGTCCGGAGAAGGCTGTTCTCCAGCCAGAGGGTGGGCCCGCTGCTGCTGTGGAGGCCCCGGAGGCCTCAGTCAGGAGGTGGAGTGCTGCTCACAGGCCCAGAGCTGGAAGGCATGCAGCGAGGGCCTGTGTGCTTGTAGCTATCTGTAGGGAATCAATTTCCATAGCGATCAGACATGCAGGAGAGTAATTTCCTGTAAGTCCTGGGTCCCGGTGAAGTGGAAATGCTCCTGCTCGTCTGTGGTGATGATTCGAGCCACATGACCTCAGGGGGAAACAGCCCCCAGGGCTCGGACTCTGAGTGTCTGGGTGAGAAAAGCCGACCTGCGGCTTCACCACTGCGGCAGATCCTTGTCCAGACCGAAAATTCACCCGCAGTCACGTCAGTAGTTGGGACCAAAACGCAAAAACTATGTACGTGCGTTATTTTATTTTCCTCAAACACATAGTCCATTTCTTCCCTGAATATTGAACATTTTCACGCTGTGTCTCATAATTTCCGTGGGAGGTAAGGCCCCTTAGAGGACCTATAATTTTTTCTAGCAGCTGGAGTTCATGCTTTCATCTTCTTCTCCGAGTTTAAGACCTTCGTCCACGTCAGCAGTCCACAGGCCGGGGTGGGTGCGGGGTGATGTCTGCACGGATGTTGGGAGTCCGGAAACCCGCCTTGTCTTCAGCCTTTTGTCTGGGTTGACGTTGGCCACTCTTCTCATGCTTAGTTGCTCCATCTGCTAAAAAGCCACACCCAGTTGACACCCACTTTACAAGGATAATATGAAGAGTGAAGTAATAATGGTTATAAGATGCTTCAAACCTTCCCAAAGGAAAGTGATCTGAAACTTCCCTCAGAGGGGAGTGTCTTCTGCTCCTGCGTGCAGCTGAATGATGAACCCTCCTGCCCTCACACCTTTGCCCCTCCCAAGAATTTCCCCATCTCTTCAGAACTCTAATCCAAGGGCAGGCAAACAGGCCACCTTCAGTGCAAGATGGAGGGGTCAGCGTTGTTTGGAGCAGGCTTGTCTGCACCATAAATCATAAAGCGATGCATCGTGACACCTGGCAATAATATTGGTTTTGCACAGATATTAAATGAGATTTTTTTTTTTAGTGTATGGTACATAGAAGATGTTCAATGAGCAATATTTTTAAAAATATTATTTATTTTTAAGTTACAGTTGATGTACAATATTATATTAGTTTCAGGTGATTAGACATTTATATAACTTACAAAGTGATCACCTCAATAAAATTAGTACCCATTTGACACCATATATAGCTATTACAATATTATTGACTATATTCCCTATGCTGTACTTTACATTACCATGTCTGTGCTGTAGCTACCAATTTGTACTTCCCAACCCCTTCACCTTTTCATCCATCCCCTCAACCCCCTCCAGCTGGCAACCATGAAAATGTTCTCTGTATCTATGAATCTGTTTCTGTTCTGCTTGTTTGTTTATTTCATTTTTTAGATTCCACATATAAGTGAAATCATCTGGCATTTGTCTTTCTCTGTCTGACTTATTTCACTCAGCACAACACCCTCTAAGTCCATCCATGTTGTTGCAGATGACAAGATTTCATTTCTTTTTATAGCTGAATACTATTTCATTGTATATAAGCACCACTTCTTTATCCAATCATCTGTTGATGGGCACTTAGGTTACTTTCATATCTTGGCTATCTATATAATAAAAGCCTAAGCGACTGTTATGGCGGAACAACCAGAATGACCAGTTGCTATGATGCACACTGACCACCAGGGGGCAGATGCTCAACTCAGGAGCCAAGATAGGCCATTTGTATGGAAAAGCCACAAGAAAGGGTTTGGGTGAGACTGCAAGTTGGGTGGGGCAGTGTGTCAGGGAATCACCAGGGTGGGGAGAACTATGTTAGCCAGGCTGATGGAGATGCAGGTATGATGCTTGTCTGCTGGCTCTGAGGGGAGGGTTCAGCAAAGGAACAATGGCTTCTGCCAGGACTTCTGTCCGGAATAAAACTGCGCACCCCAGCTCTTGCCTTGATTCCAAGCAATTCAGTTCCTCGTTGCTTGTCCCTGGTGCCCCAGTGTTAGAGCTTAGAGTGAGTCTGTCAGCGAGTCAGTCCATGTGTGGGCCCTTTAAGAGGAACACCTGGGACTCCAGCAGCCCTCCATTTCACTCAGCCACAATCTCTGCTGGTTTTTACAGCCAGAAGTTATGGGGACTTCTCTTCCAGACACTGGAACCCTGGGCTGGAGAGCCTGATGTGGAGCTGGGAACCCTGGCTCCTCAGGGGGGACCTCTGCAGCTGAGATCTCCTTCCCAATGTTTAACCATCACACGTGGGGGTGGGACCGGCCCATTCCATGTCCCCACCCCTCCTATTGATCTTGATGTGGCTGCTTCTGGATCTACGTAGTTATAGGACTCCTGTTCAGCTAGATTTCAGCGGTTCTGCATGATGGTTCTGTAATTTAGTTGTAATTTTGATATGGTTGTTGCAGGTTCTGAGTACTGCATTTACTAGTCTCTACGCTGACATCTTGATCAGATCAATAGTTATTCCTTTAGTACCCTTTGTTGGCAGTGACAGAGGAGTTTGTTCTGTTTTTAGTGCCGCTGTATAATGGTATCTGTGTGTGCAGATACTGAACATGGCAAAGCAAAATGTGCCTTAATATTTTCCCACGAAATAACCTTCACAGTTGGCCTGGCCAGTTGTCCAGGTTGGAGACTGTAGCGCGGATGATACATGGTTGTAGACATGCTATGGAAAGTCACCCTGCAGAGAGTGACGGGGCCCACTGTTTGACTCCATCTTTCACCCCTCCAGCAGGACTCGCCATCACCACCCTCCGCTTTCATTCCCAGCATCTCACCTCCGTTTAGGTCCCTTCTCATCACCTCTCATTTGGACACACTCACAGCTTCCCCTTTGGCCTCCCTGCCTCCAGCCTCTTCTCCCTCAGTTAGTCTTCCTTGACTCTGTTCTGTTCATGCCATTCTGCAGCCTTGCTTCAGAGCCTCGTCGATGGAGCCAAAGCCCCGTGGCAGGACTTCAGGGCCCTCACAGCACGCCCGTGTCCTTTCTCACCTCATTCTGTGTGCCAGTCCAGCCGACTGTGCTGGCTTTTCCTGCCTGTGCTCCCCTTCCATTTCTACTGGCGCAGCCATCCCCCACTGTCAGGGCCAGCCTGACAGGTTGAGCCAGGCTGAGGCAGGGAGGTGGGAATTGAGAAAAGAAAGACAGGAAAGCGGGATCGGGAGGACTGCAGCTCATCCGAGGAACTACAGCAACTTTATTAAGCACGTAAAGCCTTTTATACACAACACACTGAATAGGAGGTCTGTCAAGAGGAATGTATTCTTTGTTCCTCTTAATCTCTAAGGGAGGGACAGAACAGAAGGACAAGTTCTCAGTACAGCATATCTCAGTAAATAGTTAAAGACTTCTTGGTAAGCCATGAAAGGCTGTTCTCATTCTACTGATAATCGCCATCCAAACAAGTCTGGGAAAACTGTGTGGGTAAGGGTCCCAGCCTTGCTAGCCCCTTCAGGTGCAAGGACCTTGCCAGCTCACATCTGGCCCCCAACACGCCACGATGGTTGGAGCCTTGCCTTCTTTAAGAACACTTCCCTAACGCACCTCCTTCCAGCTGTCAAACTGTAAGCAGCCCGGGCCTCTCCACACACGTGGGGCCCACGTCTCTCCACCAGCACAGGCAGCATTCTGACCCGTGTCCTGTGTCCCTGTCGGACAGCCTGGCCCTGGGCTCTCGCACCTCATCCTTCCACAGAGCCTTGTGCCGGGAGGCACCCGCCGAGTGTCTGCCACATGGAGAAAGCGCTGCCTGTCCTCACTTCTCCCCTGAGGACTTGGACCTCACTCCGTAATGGCATCCCAGCACTCGACTCCCCAGCCCCTCCCAGGACACCCCGAAAGAAGTGTCTTCGAGCTAAAGTTCCCCGAAGGAAATTTACGTCCCTGTCCTCTTTCGCCCTCCTCCCTGGGGATGCTCCACAGCTGTGCGCGGGCTTGCAGAACCCGTGGGAAATGGTGTGAAGTCGCTCCCCAGACTCCTCCTCTTCAGGATGTTTCATCCCAGTTCCCTGGCCCTCCATGTGGATCTAATGTGTTTGCCTCTTTGATCATCACCCATCTCTTTTCTACGTTGTTTCTAAACTCTCATCTTCCCTCCAGTTGAGGCGGGTTTAAGAATGCCATTTCCCCGGAGCGGCAGTCAGCCTCTTGCTACGAATGCATTTCCTGAGTATCCCTTGCAGGTTGGGTGACCAGAGCTTTGGGCCCAGAGCTCCAGACACAGGAGTGTCCCTCTCCAGCTGGAAAGGCCGCAGGTGAACGGCCCCTTGGAGAGGAGCCCCAGGGAAGGCGGGGCAGGGGAGAATTGGGCCCTGCCTCTGAGCCAGGGCAGACGATGTAGAGGCTGCAGAACCTCCACAGCTGCTCAAGCGCTGGGGTAGGAACCAGGCCCCAACCAGTGACATGCCCTCCTGGGTGCTGGGTAAGGTGGCGGTGGTCTGCATTCATTCCCAACAAGGGCAGGCCTTCACTGAGCATCTTGTCTTCAATGGAAATTATAAAACGTATCTTGCCTAGGCGGAGGCGGCTGAGGCAGCATCTGCGCCTCCCTGCGCTCCCACAGTGATCATGCGTTCCTGCTCGTCCTCGCTCATTGTCACCGTGAAGTTCCAATTTCATTTGGACGCACCCAGTAGGCACAGCTCAGGTTTCGTTTCGCCCCTCTTAGGAGGTGGTCGTGCCTGATGTGTCTGTGAACGTGCCCGGTCCCTGCACTGGCTCCCATCCCGGCGTTCCTCCAAGGGCGGGAAAGGCCCGAGGCCGGCTGCTCAGGTTCAGGTTCATACTCCACCGCAGAGTGTGCGGGGCGCGCTGCGGGCGCTGTGGGCTGTGGCAGCGGCTCTTCCTCAGAGAACAGCTTCTCTGACAGCCATGCTGTCCTGTGCCCGAATATTTGGAAAGACCCTCTGTCCTTAGTGCTCTATCTTCTAACCCTTTCCCTCTTGTTTTCTATTTGTAAAGGCTGGGTTTGTCTGTGGAAAGCATCTTCCGAGACTGGCTGGAGCGCCCGGGACTTCCCCAGGTGAGCCCGCCGCGCTTCTGGAGGGAGGAGAGCAGGGAGGTGTTTGCCTGTTAGAAATGGGAAAGAACCCGCACCGAGGCAGAGTCTCCCATCCCTACACCAGGAAGGCGATGGCCGGCCTCTGCCCCAGGTGACACTGTCCCGAGGATGCTGCCCGCCCTGGGCCGAGGGGATGGGAGCGCCTGCCATGTGCGGTGCGGATTTTGGGTGGCGGTGGCGGCGCCGGGGGCGGGGCGGGGGGGGGGGGTGTTTGCAGCTGGGGCTCCAGCTCTGTTCTTTGGATGTGGCCAGACAGTAAGCGGCCGCCGGCAGCTTCCTCTGACCTGCTCCCCATGGCTTCTCCATCATGGTCTGCCCCTCCATTTCCTCCTTGAGCTGGACATCCCTTCCTCAGGCTGGCTTCACACCCCAGTGACCGGCCAGATGCATTTCTGTCTTAGACACTGGGACCTGTCCCTATGAACTCCGTACTGTCTCCGAGCCTGGGGCAGCACGGGCCCCTCCCAGGGGGGCATTCTGGGTGGGCTGGTCAGAGGCCCCTGCAGGCCTGGAGCTCTCCCACCCGGCTGCCCACCATAGCATCCCCTCCACCCCTCGCCCCCGGGTGGAAGTGGACCCCCACAGCGGAGAGAACCCTCCCTGGACCCGTTAGCCCCATTAGCCTGCTCGTTTCTGGTTTCATGGCTGGTATGTGAGCTTCCCTTTGGGAGTGTCTGAATGTCAATGAATGTCTGTGAACCATGAAATTAAGGAGCAGGAGGGGGTGTTCTCCATTACCTTCCACCCCTCCTCACATCTTTGTGCTGCTCCACCACACGGGAATGTCGGCCACCAGCCGCCAGGAACTCATTCCTAGCAAAGTCGTATTGCCTTGGGCCACCTGTTAAAAGCTGTTTGTTTGGCCCAATCCTTCTGGAATCAAAAAGAGATTGAAATCCCGAGTCCTTAAAAGGCGAAACAAAGCAGGGGCGGGGAAGGCAGCACCTGGTCCTGGGAGGGCAGGGCTTTCAGCTTGCACTGATTATAATGAGCCTCTGATTTCTAAGAAGGTACCTTCCTATCCAAGCTGCTCGCTGAGTACGAAAATCTCAGGGAAACAGGGTGAGGCCATCTGATCCTAAAAAGCCAGCCTGGCCCTTGTTTTAGTGGGGGGGCGGGGGGCACCCCCTAGAGTCACTGCCTAGTGTGCCCAGGCGGGGCTGTTGCCAGGGTCCTGGACATTCTTAGCTGGGAAAAGTTGGGAGCTCAGAGAGCAGACTCCCAAATTTCCTGGATCCAAACAAGTCCGTGGAGTTCGGCAGTTAGTCCCCAGGGAAGAGCTCAGAAAGAGGCCTTAGCCAGGGCCCGGCCTCGGGCTGTGGGGGGCTGCCCTTCACTCTCAGGAGGCTCCCGATTTTCCCCCGAAGAGGCTGAGGCCTGCCACCAGCAGGAGATTTTGCTTTTCCTTAAAAGGGGGAAGGGTACCTGGAGGGGAGAGATTAGCCGCTGAGCCACAGGTTCCTTCCAAAGGTCTAGGTGCATTAGTGACAGCTTATTGTGTAGACAAGAATCTCTGCTGTCAAAACACAGCCAGGTGCGGCGAGGCCAGCCCAGCTATAAATTGTCTTTAAGACCCAACTGGTATTTCCTTGGGTGCTTAGCTGTTCAGTAAAAACAACAGCGTCCGGCAGGAAAGGGCCTGATTTAGTGCACTCTTCCCGCTGGTGAATGATCCGACGGCGCCTTTTCATCTCTGCCCACTCTCTGCCCTCATTTGTATGGTTTATGGTGATTGCCTGCCCGCCTCCTTGAGCGCTCCTTCTCCTTTCCACTTCGGTGCAAGGCCCTGGAAGGCGGGGCCCTCTGGTTGCAGGAGCCTGGGGTGAATGGGACACCTTGTTCTTTGTCTCCATCACTGTGATATAAAGTTACGGGTGTCTGGGCCTGGAACGACAGCCGGAGCCCTGAAATCGCTGATGCTCTTTGTTCTCATTAAAAATTCCTGCCCCCCAGCAGCTGAAGTCACTCGTGACAAAGGAGTCGCGTTCCACTGGTGAAGTTTTCATTCCGCGGGTTACAGTGGCTTTTTGTCTTCCTCAGGAAGGTGTGCCTTGTGGTTGGCCTTGATTTTCCTTTCTGGCCACATTGAATGGAAATCGTTTTTAAAATGTGGAAATAGCTTCACCAGCAATAAAAGTTAGCATGAGCCCCAAAGAAGTAAAAGCAATTGGATCCACACCTCCTTAAAGAGCACCCAACCCCATAACCTTTGGGTTTGCAAACAGATTAAAATTGATTCTACCATTGGTATTACAGATTATTTCCTTTCATGGCTTTTTTTTTCTGATTATAGAAGTATTACATATGTATTTTGGAATATAAAGAAGTTTGTAATAAAATAAAAATGACCCAGAGATAGTTTTTAAAATTAATCCTTTCAGTCCTTTTCCAATACGAATATGTAGTTTACCCTTTTCTTTGTCTCCCTTTTTAAAAATAAAAGTAATATCTCCTCTGTAGCCAGTTCAAGCAGGAGCAAAATACACAGCATCAAAGGCCTGGCCCTTCAGTCGCACCCACCAGAGGAAGCCACGCTGGTCACAGTTCGCATCTCCCTGCCACACGTGTCTGTGTCCGCTCCACAGCATGGAGGTGCATATTCAAAACACAATTGGAAGTCTTCACTTAAAAATACACCTGAAGCAAGTGGTGTAGGGAAAACAGGACATGTATCTGTTCAGTTTTGGACCACATTCTTTTGCCACATACAAAATTAAACTCATTTACATCAGTTTAAATGTAATGAGATTTAAATGTAAGACCTGAAACCATCAAACTCCCAGGAGAAAAAATAGGCAGTGAATTCTTCAACATTATTCCTGGCAATAACTTTTGGGGCAAGGGCAACAAAAGAAAATAATAAACAAATGGGACTACATCAAACTAGAGAGTTTTTGCACAGCAAAGGAAACCATCAACAAAATGTAAAAACAACCCACTGAATGGGAGAAGATATTTGCCAATGATACTTCTGGTAAGGGGTTAATATCCAAAATATATGAGGAACTTATACAACTTAACACTGATAAAAGCCCAATCCAATTTAAAAATGGGCAGAGGACCTGAATAGACACTTCTCCAAAGAAGACATACAGATGGCCATCAGACAAATGAAAAGATGCTCACTGTCACTAATCATGAGGGAAATGCAAATTAAAACCACAATGAGGTATCACCTCACACCTGTCAGAATGGCTGTCATCAATAAATCAACAAATAGCAAGTGCTGGCGAGAATGTGGAGAAAAAAGGGAACTCTCATGCACTGTTGATGGATTGTAAATTGTTGCAGCCACTGTAGAAAGCAGTATGGAAGTTCCTCAAATTATTAAAAATAAAGCTGCCATTTGATATAGCAATTCCACTTTTGGATATTATCCAAAGAAAACATAAGCACTAATTTTAAAAGATATATGTATCCCTATGTTCATTGCAACATTATTTACAATAGCCAAGATATGGCGGCAACCTAAGTGTCCATTGATAGATGAATGGATAAAGATATGGTGTATATGCAATGGAATATTAACTCAGCCATAAAATAGAATGAAGGAATGAAGTCTTGCCATTTTTGACACCATGGATGGACATAGAGGGTATTGTGCTATAAAATAAGTCAGAAAGACAAATGCCACATGATTTCACTTATATGTGGAATCTAAAAAAACAAAACAAATGAATAAACAAATAAAACAGAAACAGACTCACAGAGAACTAACTGATGGTTGCAAGGGGACGCAGGGGGAGGATTTTTAGAAAATGGTCCATAGGTCAGTTGTGTGATCTTCTGGAAAATTTTAAAAAGAGCAATTATTAGACTTTTAAAATATAACAGAAAAAAAAATCAATTTCCTATACTTATGTTGTCATAATCATTTTACAAGATATTAGATTTTATTCCATTGTGCTCTGGGTTGTGATGATCGTTGTGTTTGCCTGATTACCCAGAATGCTAACTAGCTGAAGAATAAAAACTATCTTCCGTACCTTGCCCATTTTAGAAGTGGGAAATTATAGGTCACTTTACTTTGTATTATAAAAAAAAAGGAGTCTTACATTTAATATTCTCCAGTAAATAGTCAGCAAGGGAAGCACCCCAAAGGAGCATGAAGAACATTAGGAGGTGAGCCTTTGTGTGCTGTGAGGTTTCCATTTCGGCTAATGGGGTTTGGTACGGAGGCCTCTGCCTCACCCGGGTTCTTACGTGCTCCTAAGGGCGAGAAGGAAACCTGGGGTCCTCGTCCTAGCCCCTTGTTTGGCAAACTGCGGCTCTCGAGCCACATGCGGCTCTTTGGCCCCTTCAGTGTGGCTCTTCCACAAAATACCACGTGCGGGCACACACGTACAGTGTGATTGAAACTTCGTGGCCCATGTGCAGAAGTCGGTATTCTGTGGAAGAGCCAGTATTTTGTGGAAGAGCCACACTCAAGGAGCCAAAGAGCCGCATGTGGCTCTCGAGCCGCGGTTTGCCGAGCCGCAGTTTGCCGACCACTGCCCTAGCCTGTTTGACTCAGTGGATAGAGTGTCAGCCCTCGGACTAAAAGGTCCCGGGTTTGATTCCTGGTCAAGGGCACATGCCAGGGTTGCGGGTTCGACCCCCAGTAGGGGGCGTGCAGGAGGCAGGCGATCAATGATCCTCTCTCATCATTGATGCTTCTCTCTCTCTCTCCCTCTCCCTTCCTCTCTGAAATAAAAATATATATATTTAAAAAACAAAACTGGGGTGGTTCAGGAACTTCCTAAGATTTTAGAGTTAGAGCTTTTCTTCAAAAATAAATGAAAGCATAACACAAAGTAAATATCTTAAGTAGTTTCCCATATTCCTCAATGCAATTCAAGAGCAATAATTTTTAACAGTTGCAAAGCCTTCTAATAAATAGTAACAATTTAATTTACTCAAACCTGCCCCCCCTCACCCCCCCGTTTCTAAGAAAGTTGCCCGTTCTGCTAAATTGACAGTTC